GGTCGAGGAGTATTGGTGTCCTCGCTGGATTCGTCCCCAGTCGCCTCAGCATCGCGACCGCTAATGATGTGCAACTTCATAAACTTCTTAATCTGTGCCGTAATGGTCACTTCCGACACCTCGCCCTCTCGTCCAGACCCCTCGTTGGAGGGGCTTGAAGATGGTATTTGCAGCGCATCCCGTGGGGGAAAGCTGATAGGGTTCCCTTCAAATTTGAGGACTTGGAGCGAAGTCATTTCTGCCAAGCATACGGGCAGCTCCCGGATTTGGTTCTTTGGGATCGAAAGAACCTTGAGAGACGTGAGCTTTGCGATATCCGGCGGCAAAACTCGCAGCTGATTGCGGCCGAGATCGAGGATTTCGAGGGATTTGAGCTCGCAAAGCTAATGACTTGTGTTAGCCTGATTCATCATGCATTGGTAAGACAAAACAAAGGGAGGCATGGGTCGTCGTACAGGTAAGGGAAACTCTTTGATCTGGTTGCCTCTGATGTTGAGATATCGAAGCGACACGCACTCGGCAAATCGGGCTGGCAAGGAGGAAAGTTGGTTGTGTGATAGAGCGAGCCTGTATCGTAACACACAGCAGTCAGCAAACAAGTCGTTTTTTTTTTCTTTTTTCTTTTTTCCTTTTTCCCCCGTGTCATTTATTTCTTCTCCTTCAATCCCTAGTTCCTTTCTTCCTTTTTCTTATTGGGTTGCTCACCGTTCTAGCTCGTTCTTGACTATATCAACCACCTCTTCGGGAAGTTTCTGAATGCCCTTGCGGCTCAAGTCGATGGTCACGCCCGACTTGAGGCCCGGGCCAACATCGACGGCCTGGCTCTCGTTTTCAAGAGCATGTCTCATCGCCTCGCGTGTCAGGCCGATGACCTGCGCCACCGTCAGAACGGGCGTCGCGGGCGAGTTGCCATTGGGAGACGGGCCATTTCGACCGTTGGGCAGAGGCGGAAGCGGCATCATGGGCGGCGGCTGGCCGGTTGGAGGAGCAGCAGTCGTGGTGAGAAGAGGACGGCGAGCCTGAGACGGGACGTTATTATCGGGAGTGCCTGCGCCAGTGCCCCTGAGAGCCGGAGGTGCAGTGGCGGGGGGTCCAGGAGCAGCTCCAGGGCCGTTGCCCATGCCGTTGGCAGGCATTCGGTCGGGTCGCTCCATGGCGTCTTAACCGGCCCTTCTTCTTCTTTTCCTTCTTCTTTTCTTGTTTCTTTCTTTAACACTCGTCTTCTCGTCGCACGTATACTCGAGCGCACACGTGCTCAAGGCACCGCGAAGAGGCGCTGTTGGAGCTCAAGGGCCGAGGCGCTTGACCGTGTAAAATGTTTCAGAGCACCCCTCTCTTTTCTCGAGCCCTCTCGCCTTAGAAATCCGGGGGGTTGTGCGTTTAAGCAGATCGGGGCTGCGACGAATGATCAGGCGAAACACGTGAGATCATCGTGATCAAGCCGGTCTAGGCGCCTAAAACTGGACAAGATATCGCGCGCGGATTCGCCCTGGGGAAGGGAACAGCGGGAGAGGTTGAGGAAGCCGGTCGTAGGACGTGTGCTTTTGCTTTGGCTCTGGACGGACGTGAGGCTCGCACTAACGTGGGCGGATAGACTTTGGCTTGGGGGTCCTGCTCAAGGTTCCGTTTAGAGCCCCTGAAACACTAGCGGGATGGGCAGCGGTGGTTGGCGCGGACAGTGCGAGGGCCACTGCGAGGGTGCAGCCACAGCGCCTTCAGAGGAGCCCTGATAGGGGACTTTTGGGTCTGTCGGTGCTGTTTTGGAAGTGATGGGCAGCATGTGAGCTTGAGCCGGATCGTGATCTTGTCGTGGTAGGCCCTGGTTTGCCGTTTTGTTCTCGTTCGTCCTGGGTTGTCGACGGAGCATATGCCGCGGTGGGCGAATGTAGCGTCGATGCCAGCACTGTAAGGCCCTTTCGGCGCTCGCATCTCGCGATACTGTACGCGGAGCACTCCGCAGCATGCTCCCGGACTTGCATAACATATTGACATGTAAATATTGACTCGCAAGTCCGCTAGCACGAGCGCGGGAAGCGGTGCGGGCGTGATCTGGAGTAGCAGATACCCGTCGATTCTACGGCAGAGGTTGATATTGCTTCAGTAGCTTGTACATGTTCGTCGACTGGCCCCTTTTCCATCTCAGATGTGTGTACTACGGTTATGGAGAGCCAGTTAACGGAGACCAGCATTATCAAGACGTACCTAACTTCTACGTGTCAATACTCTCATGCGCGGTTCCAAGCTACGGCCTCTGCCGGCAGCGCCGCGAGAATTGCTCTATTCCTCTATACATGTATGCTGTTTCCGGATGCGGGTACAACAGCCATACTACGTGTCCCTGGTTAGATTGAAGTAGAGTTTCTCAATTTAACAAGCCAATTGCGCCGCCCATGACAAGACAAGGTACATGTGCCATTTACATCTGAGTAGCTATGACGGGTATTACTCCGTGCTTGACCTACCTAGGTATTTTCCACGTATGGCACTCATGCTTTTCGCTTGCTGCGCTGCGGCCGCTGCCGTCGCCGTCGCCGCAGGAATGAGTTCAGCTGGGGCAAAAGCAAGAAGAAAAAAGCTGTGAAAAAGAGGAGACGCTAACAGGCCGCCATGCTTGTGGGGAACTGCGCTAAACGGTATTCCAGGCTGAACGTTGTTAACGTTGTGCTTGGCTCAGGCACCACAAGATGATCCTTTGGGAGGCCGTAACTTACACAGGGCATATCGTCACCTGAATGGTGCAACCTTGTGAGAGGCACCAAATCTAGAAGAGTAAATGAGAGCTTGTTAGAAACAGTTACACTGCAATATCTAGACCGGTCGCCCAAGTCGTATCAATTGATGTTTAGCTGAGATCCCTGATGCACGTGCCTGGGCCACTTAGCACTTCTATTAATATCCGTTCAGCAGGCTTTAGTCATGTCCCGTTCTCCATATTCCGCACCCCCGTGGAAGCTGGCCCTGCGCGTTCTAGAAGAGCGTCAAAATACTTCTACCGCGAGCGACTAGCATTAAGGCATCACCCTGTGAACAGCTGCCAAAACCATCAATCCACACATGCGCCGCAATCTCGATGCCGCATAGCCACTCACCCACGGAATCGTCTATTTCGCCGCCAATGCCAGCTTCTGCTCGCCACCGCTGTTGCCAAGCTTAGATCCTCTCTGCCATGGCCCCCCTGCAAAGGGCAGATTCATGCACAGATATCGGATTCACTCTCCGGCGGCAGTTCCACAAGGAAGACTTTAGGTGAGTTTACGTGTAGTACCTGATGGATTCATATAAGCGAGCTGAACCGGACTCAGCTGACGCTTCTCACAAGACCCCATCAGCGTGAAATCATCGAGGCAGCGCTCGACGGCTATGATGTCTACGTCCAAGCAGCAACGTCGTTTGGCAAGAGCCTGTGCTTCCAGCTCCCCGCCGTGATCGACCAAGGCAGTGAGTTGGACCAGACGCGTCTCATATATTCCAGACGACAGAGAATGAGGCAAACTGACACTGAGTCTTATCAGTTACCATTGTCGTGTCGCCTTTATTAAGTTTAATGGTAGGTTTGACGGTTTCCCATCTTTTTCCTTCCTGATAAGCGCACTCGGTGTCCTGTAGTGGCTAAGGACGCTCCTCATAGATTAATCAAGTTGAGGCTTTGAGGGCTGAAGGTATCGACGCCAGCTCTCTAAACAGCAACACGCCGCGGGAGGAGAAAGACCGCATACAGCGTGACCTAGAGACCGGTCACCCAAAAACCAGGCTTCTCTATGTAACTCCGGAGCTCTGTTCTGGCTCGCGCTTCCGTACAACCCTACAGCTTGTCTACAGGCAGAAGGAACTTGCTCGCATTGCCATTGACGAAGCTCACTGCATATCGGAATGGGGCCACGATTTCAGAAAAGACTTCAAGCGGCTGTCCTGGTTTCGGGAGACATTCCCTGATGTACCCATTATGTGCCTTACAGCGACAGCAAACGCCCAGGTGCGGCAGGACATCCTCAAGATCTTGCGTCTCGACGCTACACCAGAAAAAATTAAGACCTTTTTGATGAGTCCAGAGCGAGGCAATCTCCATTTAGAAATAAGATATACAAAGGATGAAGACGACAACCGTCTCTCAGACTTCTTGACGTGGATACAAGGAGTATATGATCGTAGACGTGCTGAACCGCGGCAGAGCGAGCTGGTCGAGTTGCGCGAAAGGACTAAGAATGTTTCGGGCATCATATATACGACATCTCGAGGCGAGTGCGAGTCACTCGCAGCCAGTCTCCGAGACGCAGGAATTGGCGCTCGACCTTTTCATGCCAAACTGCCCAGTGAGGTTAAAGAAGACACTTTGGCCAACTGGATCAACAATGAGAAAGGCTACGATATCATTGTAGCTACAACGGCGTTTGGCATGGGGATCAACAAGGATAATGTACGTTTCGTTGTGCACTGGCGGCTTCCCAAGTCCTTTGAGGGGTATTATCAGGAAGTCGGCCGGGCAGGGCGTGACGGCAACGCCGGATATTGTTTCTTATACTACAGCCGGGAGGATCTCGAACGAGCCAGCCGGATGATAAAGAGCGACGCTCAGATGGATGCAAATTACCAAGCGCGGCTAACCAGCCTTCAAGCGTTGGCACAATACTGCGAAAACATATCTGCGTGCCGACATGCCTCTATATGCAAATATTTTGGCGAGGAAACAATTCCGGATTGCGACTTTGCGTGTGATTATCACAAGGACTCTGACGATCTTGAAGAGAGGTTTCTGAGGGGGTTGGCCAGCGAGGAATGGGTGAGCACACAAGCGATGCAAGGCACATATGACGATAATGGTGATTTGTAAAGTTCGCCTATTACAAGATTGGGAGAACAATAGAATGTAGAGCGGCGACTAAAAATAGTGATTCAGCGGGCTATTTAGATGACAGTCGCATAGACTCCCATCATAGAAATGTTCTAAACTTCAATGCCGTGTTGCGCCATGTTTTGCTGTTGGAGCATACATACACAGAGCATCAGTTCTTCTTGGCCTCCTTCTCAGCCTTCTTCTCGGCAACCAGCCTATCAAATCTCTTCCATGATGTCAAGCCCTCACAGAAAATAGTAACCTCCCACATCCACCACACTCGAGACCACCTCGCCACGCTGTGCTTCTGCAGCCTCCATCGGTCAAGCAGAAACGCCTCTGTCACATGGATCCCAACAACCGGCCAGAAAATGGCCTTGACAATCCACCGAAACCACTCAGGCCCTCCTGGAAACACCACCTTGAGGACCTCCCACGGGACGCTTCCCGGCTCAAGCCACGGCAAGCCCATGGCGCAGAAGTAGTAGAAGATGACGCCGAAGAACGGCGCCCAGTCGAAGCCTTGCTGCACGGCGTACTCGTTGATGTAAATGTTGCTGAGGCCGAGGGCCTCGCGGGCGGTTTCGTCCATGGCGATGACGCGGTCGCGCGCCTCGGCCCAGGACGTCAGGGGAGGGGAGAAGGGGACGCTGTAGGTGGTGCCGTTGCTGGTCTTGAGGGTCATTCCGTCAAAGTCGAGATCCTGGATGGCGGGAGAGGCTGCTGCGGCGCGCGGGGAGAGGCCGTTGTAGTGGCGGAGATAGTGGGAGAGTTCGCGGGTGTGCTGGGCGTTCATGTGGGAGATGATGCGGGCTTTGACCTCTGCCTCGGAGGGGGGGCCGCGATTGGTTGCCATTGTGATTATATATGTGTGTATTTGTGGGGGGGCGTTTTCTCTTTTGGAGATGTTCTGTAGAACTTTTGAGAAATGATGTGGAGGGAATAGTTGCGAGCTTTAAATAAGGCAAAGGCCTATACTCAGTTTTTTTAGTTGGTATGTTGGAGATGTTCAGATAAGGTGATGAGGTTGAAAGTGGAGTCTTCGCTAGCCGTAAAATGCCCGAGTGCCTCTGCCAACATCAGGTACCGCCGAGTATCATCTGGAAATCATACGATGACAGCCCTGAAATTGGCCAAAATGACAAAGGGGAGATACAAACTGTGAGTGGAATTGCATGTTTGTATTTTATCCTTCAACTATCCGCGCTCTAGAGACCCCCTTGAAGTTTCTCCATTGCAGCTTACAACGTTTCCTGTGACATAAGTATATCGAGGCCAAGCAAAGAAGAGCAAGAGTAGATTACTGGAAAATGAATACAAAGTAAGTTTCAGAATGCATTATATCGATGATAGCTGAGTATATACAAGCTATAAGGGCTTTGTTGACAATTCTATGATGCGGATGCATGGGACGAATTGTACACTGCGAGTGTTTGAGATAGAGGTCGCCATAGTCGACTAATTGCGGTTGACTATAACGACTTCGGTCTCAAAACGCGTAGAGATGGTATAGAGCTCAGGCTACCATACTAAATATATGGGCAATGTTGTCAATCAATCTCACTGTCAAAACGTCGGCCTTTCGTTGCCAATCGAGTGTAAGCAACTTAGTTTACTATACCGTCGCCAGATGAACCGTTAGAGTTTTGATGTAGTGTGAATAATTGGGGCCATCTGAGCACACTAGCTATGGTGTAAAACAAATCTAGAGACATTCATCATAGGGCAAGCTGCAGGGCAAGCTGCAGCGTAAATGATAGAAAGATTGGGGCGGGCAAAAACTCCAGTTTTGCGACACCCATTTCATCTTCGACTGATCACGAGAGTCTAAAGAATCTGCCAAACAGTTGCGTGAATGGCATCTCGACGTCATTTTTCTAAACTCAGCCTTACATCGGCGGCTCCTCAGGCAGCAGCTTCACGTGCGAGCGCGTCATTTTCGCGACCGGATGGTCATCGGAGACCTGATGGGTTGCAGCTGGGCGCATCACAGATCCTGGGGAGACCAAGCTTTGGAGTTTCGGCTTCGGCTTCGGATCCGCAGTGTCACCGGGGGACCCTCCGTGAGTCACCATGAATCCTAGCCGAAGGTTGCCCCAAGTGGAGATAGGAGGCATGAATGGCGGAATTAAGAACCAGATCCATGGTAGCTGAAATCGCGGAGATTTATGATCGCTAAGCGGACTTTGAGAGTGCCGAAGAGGCAAGCATGCATGTGCTCTCATGGCCATATATAGATGGCATGGCTCATGATGGTTGGCGAATATGTATATGTATATATCACTCAAAGGCCAGTGAAGAAGATTCTCACGTCCATGGAATAAAGTTATTGGCAACCACACAGTTGAAGCGGCCCAACGTCTTGTTCTGGAAAATTCAATTGATTGCCAGTTGAAGCCGAGTTGTGCTAGTCTCTTATTTAGCCTGTCATCCGTCAGTGGCTCGATTTCACGCTTGGCTAGTTTGGAAAGTCTGAGCGAGCTGCACGTATGCGGTATATGGACTGGAGAAAACCTTTCCAAACTTATATAGATGTCATTGGATGCCAAGACGCAATTACAATTGTAAAGATGTTTTCACCAATTGCGCCAAGTATCTGAATTTGAGAGAGTGAGTGACAGATAAGGCACCCGACACCGGTGCAACCTTTCTGGTCCCTTTTTTTCCACCGGCATAGTTTCGTCACATCTCGTGAAACACGACGAGGCGTAATCGGATCAAGCAGCCGGCAGGATTGAACACCGTCTATGCCTAGGTATATATTACGAAGGAAGCAGTTGGTAAAGTACTGAAAATAATTCTTTTGCTTCTCACAACGGCTCGGACGTCCGAGAAGCGCTGAATGACTAAGAAGTCCGATACCTGCTTCTTCGAGAATAGCGCCTCGGACCTCGGCTCGGATTTGATCCCTCAAGGGCGCCCGTGACGCAGCGGCCAACGCAATTTTTATCAGATCAGATTGATAAAAATCGCAACGGCAAACACTTTTGACGCAGGACCCCTCCTCTCGCCTTGCGCTGAATTTCCCCTACATTAATTTTTTTTCTGGAGGCGTCGTAACTCCGACACATCTTGGCCATGACAGATCGCAGCGAGAGCCCGGACTCCGACGGGGGTTCGGTATCGAGACACGGCTCTGACCAACCACCGGCTCGCAAGAGGCAGCGCGTGCGACTGAGCTGCTTGGAGTGCCGCCGCCGCAAGCTTTCGTGCGATCGTGGCTTTCCATGCGAGCGCTGCATCAAGAGTGGCACCCCTGATCGCTGCAGCTACGAATCACGCAACGGAGAGGTGGTTAATGCATCGTCCGGCATCCCCCCTTCCTTTGCGCAGCTGGACTCGCGGCGCTTCGGCATTGGCGATGCCGTCTCGGGCTTCTCACCCCGAGACTCTGAGCTGGCTCGCCAGGACCACGACCGCATCCGCCGGCTGGAGCTGGAGATTACGCAGCTCAAGAACCTTCTGACACGGCCTGGCGCATCGTCTCTGGATGGGAGCACCATCGTGGGCACCAACTCGCCGTCGACGCAGAAGGATGAGGCGCCACACGATGGCGACGCTCGACCTCGAGCGGAAGAGCAGGAGATCATTGAGAAGAGCGGCATGGCTGGTGAGAATGGCGAGTTGCGCTTCTTTCGAGGCAAGGGATTCCGAACACGCTATTTCGGCCCCCATAATGCCAGCATGGCGTTTGTCGAGCTGACTGGGCTGTGTCCCTTTATGCGGGAGACGGCGGATGAATGGCTTCGGCCGGTGATACTCCATGATCGCAAAGACCGCAAGCGTCGCCAAGAGGAACGAGATACCCTTTTCGAGCAACAGGACCTGGACCTGGAGGCCCTTCTTCCCACCAAGGAAGAGGCAGATGCCCTCATAAGCGTCTATCTGGATCAGTTTGAGCAAATCCACCGCATTGTACACGTGCCCACTTTCCGAAAAGAGTATGCCGAATTCTGGAAACCCGGAACCCAACAGAGATATTCGGCATTCACAGCATTGGTCCTGTCTATGATGGCTGTAGCTAGCTGCGTGCATACTCACGAGGCCCTCAAGTTCATCGGCATGATGTCGAATGCGCAGCATTTAGCTGAGAAGTGGATCAAGGCGTGTGATAGGTGGTCCGACAAGCAAAGCCAGAAGCATCGACGACTTATTCATTACCAGATAGCTTGCTTGCTCTACCTTGGCAAGCGGGTCAACACCATCAAGAAGAAGCGGTTCTGGACAAGCTCGGGACAACTGATCCGCGATGGCATTGCTGTCGGCCTGCACCGTGAGCCGAGCCACATGGGCGGCAAGATCACCGTGTATAACCAGGAGATGCGACGGAGGATATGGGCGACAGTGCAAGAGTTTGATATGCAAGCCTCATTTGACCATGGCCTGCCGACGCTGGTGAGCCAGCTTCACTTCGACACAAACCCTCCGCGGAATCTGGACGACGAAGACTTTGATGAGAATACGACGGCATTGCCACCTTCCAAGCCGGCCAAGGATTATACGTTTTCATCTTTCCAAAATCTGGCACGACAAAGCTTGCCCCTGCGCCTTGAGCTCAGCCGACTTCTTACCGGGCCACTGTCCGAGATCGATTACGACCAGGTCATTCGTTATACAAACGACTTGACCCATGAGATTGATGCCCTCCCTTCTTGGGACATGAATCTTGAGAATAGCAATGGCACCAAAAAGAACCCACTCATTGCATATACTCTGCTGCACGTCCAGCTGAGGCAGTACATTATCCCTCTACATCAACCCTACCTCAAGCTGCGCAAGCAGAACTCCAAATATCAGTATTCTGAAATAATCTATTACAACGCCGCGAGAGACATTGTTCTCCTCCACGACAAGTTATACGAGCAGGGCGTCCGAGCGCTCAACTTCTTGCGAGAGGACGCCCTCACCACGTGTATCAACCTCTGCAGCGTCACGATGTTGCAGCCCCGCGGGTCGACCAACATGATCATGATCAACTCGCACCACACCGTGAAGCTCATTGAGAAGTGCATCGCCATGAAGGAGGACCGCCTGCTGCGTTGTGGTAATAACGAGCCGTGGGGGTACTCCATCATGTGTGCTGCCTTGGGTCTTCTCGAGGCGCATCTGGGCACGAAGACGACCGAGGTGGCGAAATCCACTTCGGCGGAGAGATTTGTAAATCTACATTACAAGCTTCTCGCGAACCAGGAGCCTCCTGTGCCGTCGTCGGTGCCGGGGTCCTCGCTTCACCCTATGATTGGACCACTTGCTGAGCCTGGTATTAGACCTTTGTCTACTGCGGATCTACCTGACGCACCCAAAGTGAGTGATGGCTACTACTCGACTTGTTTTTTTTTCTTTTTTTTTTCTTGTAACTGTCTTGCTAATCATCTATTCCTTTAGTCCGTTACGCCTTTTACTTTCCAAGCGGCACTGCCACCAGTTTCAGTGGACCAATCCTGGGCTGTCAACGACCAGACACAGCCCTTTAATCTCGACCCAAGCCTGGAGCTGTTGGGTCTGAACTTGAACGAGCTCTGGGGAGAATCTTGGGAGCTGGGAATGTAAACCAGAACAAAAACAAAAAGGGGTGACTTTCTGTACATGAGTGGATGAGCCCATTTCACCTCCTCTCTTCTCCTCTTTATTATGCCGATTCAAACGGCTTTGTAATATCTTGGCGATTTATCTGCTTATACTTGTATGTTTGGCGTTTTATGGTGTGTATTATAGAGATACCATGTAAGCATTACGACTTTGATGGCATTTTGGCGCAGTGCTTGCAGCGTATCGTGGCGTTAGGGGAATAGCACGTACTTCTATACGGATTCTGTTTTGGGAGTTTGGTAATAGGAGGTACTGATATGGAAAATA